CACGTCCAAGTCAGGGGTTGAAGGACTATGTCAGAGGTGTGGTATTTATAGGAATGGACTGAATGGGCAATTGTTGGGGGGGTGGAGAGTGTGGAACAACCTAAGGGAACTTCCAACATTCAGGAATCAGGAGGGAGCCAGTGAAAGAAGCTAAGAAGGAGAAAGCAGTGGAGCAGGAAGGAGTCCAGAGAGAAACAGGGTGGTCCTTGGCGCCAAAGGCTGCTGAAGGCAAGAAGGTGAGCGTGCAGCACTGCGTGTGATGTCCCAGGAGTGTCTTTAGTTGGAGCAACAGGGATAAGAGGCTGATTGGATTGACACAGACTGGCACATGGGAGGCAGTTCGGGCTGGTTGAGTGGGTGAAAGTTGATGAATCAAAGATGTGATGGTCTAGAGAGGACTCTGAGGGGTTAGGAATCAAAAGAGATAAATAAGTGATTTTGAACAGTTAGAGCCAAGGAGAAGCAAGAGTGTGCGATGCTTTTCTGAAGTGCTGAGAGAATTCAGGGCAGACTCTTTGAGGCAAGGGTGTTGGTGTAGGGACAGGTTCTGCAGTGGCCCTACTGTGTTTGTGTTTCCTCACCTTCAGGCCCGGCTCTAAGAGAACTCCCAGGACTTCCCAGAGGATGCCTGCAGGGAGAGCTGGCTCTGCAGAGACTAGAGTAGAAGATATTCCAGAACTGGCTGATGGCAGTCTGGGGGGCTCGTTCTTCTGAGAGCTGGGCAGCAGTAAATCTGAATGGTTAGGATGAGGTAAACAGGAACAGATCTGACCCTTCCAATGTGCATTTGGAATGCTGCAGTTCCTGCATTTCTAGATGAATGTTTTATAGCTAAATAGCGATGGAGGTGGGTTAAGCCAGCACCTAGACCGCATGGAGCAGTAGGCTTTTCTTTCCTCTCGCCTCTCAGTCGAACAAGTAAGGAACTGTAGACTACAGGCCTTGCACAGACCTTCGATATTTAAGTCAGAGGACTTCGATTGTCTTTTTAACTAAGAAATGTTGAGTGGTTTATGCATTAGGGCATAGCAGGTAAAACCACTGCCTGCTACGTCGTTAGGGACACCAGTTCAGTCTCAGCTCCTTGCTAGTGGCCTGGGAAAAGCAATGAAAGATGGCCCAAGTGCTTTGGCCCTTACCTCTCATGTGGGAAAGCTGGATGGAATTCCTGGCTCCTGGCTTTGGTCTGGCCCAGTCCTGGCCATTACAATCATCTGGTGGGTGAACCAGTGGGTGAAAGATTCTCCTTCTCTCTCAAATTCTGACTTTCAATTAAATGGATGTTTAAAAAAGAAAGTTTAAATTTCTACATAAGAAGCAAAGACAGAGATAAAGTGTGTCCCTCTACTGGTTTGCTCCTCAAATACTTGAAACAGCAGCAGCTGGGCCTGAGAACAAAGCTGGTAGCTGGAAGCTCAATCAGGGTTTCCCACGTGGATAGCAGGAACCCAGTCACTCGAGCCATCATCTGCCTTCCTAGGATCTGTATTAGCAGAAAGCTGGAACTGGACTAGAACCCAGGTTCCCACCATTGGGTGCTAGATTGAATGCCTTGCCCCAGGCCTTGGTTCTGGGCAGTTCCCTATCTGATGCTTCTTGAATGGCCCAAGTTTCAAAGGATGCTTTGGTACAGGCCCCACACAAAATTTATTTGCCCTGCGAGGGCAGTACATTTCCCAGGCCGTGAAGTGGAACCACTGTGGTGTAACTGAAGACCCTCTCCTCCTAACATGCTTCCTTTAGTTCTCTACATGCAGCGTGCCCTCATACTCGTTCCTTCGCCAGTGCTGGTCCTTGTGCCAGGAAGCCAGGGTCTCCTTTCTCTGGAGATGGGCTCTGGGAGGTCTGCTGAAGCCACCATGCCCGTCGGGGTGAGCTGGACTCGCTGGCTCTCTGAGGAGCACCTTGAGTTGTGAGTCTCTTGAAGTCCCTGATTTTTGTCTGAATCCTAGTTTCCTGTGTTTTGTGTTTTGTTTTGTTTTATCCGTAGTGGTTGTACATTTGGGGTACATCATCAATATTTGTTGAATGGATGCATGAATGCTTGAGACTGTCAGTGAATAAATGCATGGGAAAGATCAAAAGAATGTTACCCATTCTGTTTTACCCAAAGACTAAAAGAATCAGTGGCTTCCCAGATGTAAACGTAGACTCTGTGGACATAATGAGACTTTGCAAATCCAGTCAAGAGGACAAGAACATCGCAGCCAGAGAGAAGGGCTCGTGTGTGTGGCCTGGGGTTATGAAGACCTGCTGATACAGAGCACAGCTGGGCAGCAGGAGCTCGTGTGTGGGACAGTCGATCCGTGGCATCTACGAATGTGTTTCTTTGTCAGTTCTTTTAGGAAGGATATTTTTCTTTTAAAGAGATAAGGGTACATCCTACTATGTATGATTATCAAAAGGATAAAAAAAAAAGAAAGAAAGAAAAAATAAACAAGCTGTGACACTTGCAAAATGGAAATGATATTGAACCAGTCATTTCATTCCCATATCCCTCAGCTCCTTTCATGCATACTTTGTAAAACGATAATAACCCTTACTAGTATTTATGTTTTAAGAGTGTTGTTACTGTAAATTAGGTAGTCTAAATGGGTTATGTTGTCTTGTTTGATAGACAAGCATTATACACAAATGAGGCGTTGTTATTTATTTTTCCTTGCAAGCCTGTTAAATGAGAATTAGACGGGAACTCTGCTTTGAGATACCTAGAGACGGAATGGTTATCAACTCAAGTGAAATGAACACACACACACAGTCTTCACCTGGCAACTCAGTTTGTACAGCTTAGCCTGTCTGTGCACACAGTAAAAATATTGTCCCTGTTTTTGCCTGTTGTATACTTGGCTGCTTGCCACCTCTCTGAGTTCTAACCGCAGCTGGAGGCACAAAGCCTTCTAGGGCAATCTTAGTGAGCCCTTTAGAAAACCCAGGTATCCAGGAGGATGACAATTTAGGGGAAAATGTTTCCATTCATTGAGCCATGCAACTAATGTTCTTGTTGATTTGGGGCCTCAATGAGTGGAGTCAAGTCTCTCTGCACTGCAGGTTCCTGACTTAGGGACACCCGTGGCCTCAATGTTTTCAGGTTGCTTACTGTGCATCTTTTTTTTTTTTTAAAGATTTTTCAAAAAAAATTTTTTTAAAGGTTTATTTATTTTTATTGGAAAGGCAGATATACATAGAGGAGGAAAGACAGAGAGGAAGATCTTCCATCCGATGATTCACTCCCCAAGTGACCGCAACAGCTAGTGCTATGCCGATCCGAGGCCGGGAACCAGGAACCCCTTCCAGGTCTCCCACACAGGTGCTGGGTCCCAAAGCTTTGGGCCGTCCTCCACTGCTTTCCCAGGCCACAAGCAGGGAGCCGGATAGGAAGTGGAGCTGCCGGGATTAGAACCGGCGGCCATATGGAATCCCGGAGCGTTCAAGGCGAGGACTTTTGCTGCTAGGCCACGCCGCCTGGCACTTAGTGTGCATCTTTGGCACCCCATTAACACCTCCAGTGCTTTTGTCCTTTCTGGAATCCAGGATTGTGATGGCACAAGACAGAAGCTGGGCAAAGAAAGCTTTAGAAATAGTGGATGTCAGAAACTTCATTGCGTATCATTAAGGTCTGGGAACTGTGACGGTGCCCAGGGGATTCAGGGACGCAGAGAGCTGCTGCTGATGCTCCCATCTGTGCAGAATCATCGTGTCTAGCCCTTGTGTGTGTACAATAACCTCAGCCCGTTTGGGGTTCCTCGGTCCCTGCTGTTGCATAGCTCCAGCCCCTCTCCTCTAGTCCAAAGCCCTCGCAGTGACCACCCATTCTGTTTTGGCTCACCTTCACTTCCCAGCGCCAACCTTCAGCATTGCTTGCGGTCACAATCATCTGTTTTCCACCTGACCCATTTATTTTGGCTTCTGTAGTTTGCTTTCAGAGAGGCCCCCTGCTTGGCCAGCTGCCCGGCCAGCTGTGGGAACAGCTGCCTGCTCCAGACACCAAGGTGACCAGACTCGTCTCCTCTCCCTTGGGTGGCTCCCCAAACATGAGCCGTGGCCAGAGATGATTGATAATGACAGCATGACAACTGTGTCTGGCCACATTTGTCCCTATGTAGGTCACTTAATTGGTGGACTCCTCAGAAAGACAGGCGTTCACTGCTGCAAACTGGTGGGCTTTGGTCCAGGTAGTTTGCGTGGGCCTTCAAGACCTACACAGAGAACCAGAAGGGAATATTTGGCTTGCTCTCTGCTTTTTGGCCAAGTGCAGCACCGGTTGTCATACTGCTGTCTTGAACATGGGTTGTGGCTACCAGCAGCATTGCCATGGAGGCAACCGAGTTCATGTAAAAGTGGGGAAGAATTCTGAAGAGCCTCCTGTGAGATGGACCCTGCTGGGGAACCAGGGAGATAGTCTAGGGACTGTGCCTCTATTTCCATTTCTTAAATTTTACTTATTTTTATTTAGTTAGTTGAAAGACAAAGAGTGAGAGAGATCTCCATCCTTTGGCTTATGCCCCAAATACCTGCAATAACCAACCAAGGCTAGACAGACCAAAGTCATGAGGCTGGAATTGCATCCGGGTCTCCCTCATTGGTGGCAGGAGCCCACGTGCTTGAAACATTAACTGCTGCCTCTTAGACTGTGTGTTACCAGGAAGCTAGGAGTAGAGCCAGGACTCAACCCAGGCACTCCAGCACCCTAACTCTGTGCCAGGCACTCGCCCTGTCTTCTATTTTTAAGGCAAACTTCTGAAATAGCTCCCCGACATCCCTTGGTTCTATTTATTTCTCAATCCACTATAATCTTTTTTCTTTTTTTGAGACTGACTTATTATTTGAAGGGAAATGGGAGACGTGCAGACAGAGAGAGGGAGAGACTGTCCATCCACTGGTTCACTTCCGACAGCCAAGGCTGTGTCAGGCCAGATCCAGAAATAGGGAACGCTGTGGGCGTCCCCGGGGTGGGTGCAGAGGCCCGTACCTTGGGCCATCTTCTGCTGTTTTCCAGGTGCGTTAGTGGCGAGTTGGAACTGAGGCTCAGCAGCCAGGAAGGGAAGCAGCTCTTGGATGTGAGATGCCAGCTTGACCACCGCACCACCGAGCCTGCTGTGATCCGCTGCCACAAAGCGTGCTGCTTGCTGGCCTGGTCGCACACCTCCCTGATGCATGCGTGTGAGTGCTTCTGTTTTTGCTTGCTCTCTTGACAACATGTGTTGCTGTCGCCTGCCACTGCTAGGAAGATGCTTCTCCTTGCCCCCTGGCTGCCTCTCACTGCTCCTTCCTGCTCAGCTCCCCGGCTGCTCCTCTCACTCTGCTTTTTTCCCCAGGGATCTTTGCTGTAGCGATCCTGTGGTAAGCATGGCTGGGTCTCCTCTGGGTCCTTTTCTCCTTCTGGTACACCCTTCCGGAGTACCTGATTGGTCCCTGTCCCTTCTGTCCTTGTCCCTCACACATGGTGACTCCAGTACCTGGATCTAGATTTTTCCATGAACTGGCGCCCTTGCATGCTCTCTCTGCAGCACAAAACAAACCAATCAGGCCAAACTCATTGCCTTCTCTCCACCTTGTCTTCATGCTGAATTCAATTTCGGGGGTCATAGTGGTGTCGCTGTGTACCTAATTTTCAGCTCCTTAGTCATGACTTGACTCTAAAATTCCAAGTTTAGCCCATTGAGTATTTCTGTTGATTTTCTTGCCTCTGTGGCATGGCTTACGGAGTTCTACGTATTTAGTCTTGTAAACTTCTGATGCCCATCTCTGACTGCTTGGTCCAGGATTCCCTGTCTTATTTATATTTTCAGTGCTTGTGTACTCAGCAGACACTAATTTCTGATACTTTGAAAACTTGCCCATGTGATGCCCTCCACTGTAAGCAGCCTTCCCTCCTCTTATTTTTCTTATTCATTTATTTCCAGTTTATTTGAAAAGTAGAGAAAAAATAAGAGAAAGACAGACAGGAACAGATCTTCCACTTGCTGGTTCACTCCTCAAATACCCACAAGAGCCAGGGCTGGGCCACACTAAAACCAGGAGTCCAGAACTCAGTCCAGGTCCCCCGCATGCATGGCCAAGATCCCCGTGCTTGAGTCACCACCCACGCTCCCCCAGGGTGTGTATTGAAGGGAGAGCCAGGACTCACCCAGGCTGAGCGGGCATCCCAAGCACGTGCTGCCCCAGAAGCTTGCCCCTCCACCGTGTCTGTGTATCACCACCGACGTCACTAGCTTTCAGGTCTCTCTGCTCGTGATGCTTCTCTTCGTGACACACTGCTTTCTCAGCGCCAGCCTCCCCACTCCTCTCCTGCCCTCTGCTCTGACGTCCCGGCATCAGGGGCTGTATCTGTCTCGCAAACCTTTCATTCCTGTCGCCAATAAAGTATTTGGTACAGAGTGAACAAATGCTAATATCAAAACTATGATTGTGAGGCTATGAAATAAATCTTGAATTAGATGGTGAAATTCATATTTTACTAAGCAACAGGACCCTGTAGTATCAAAGGTATTTGAAAAGGAAACTATGTAGAAGAATTTATCAAAACTAGGATCATGACCTGAGGGTGAACGAGAGAAGCAGATTTCTACTCTCTCCTCTATAAGTTTATTTTTCCAGAGTTCAATATCCAGATTCTCTGATCTGTGTTTTGGGGTCACCCAAGCATTTCCTCCTGATTGTGCGTAAACTCCTGATTCTGATTCTGGACTCAAACCGACACCATAGTTGACAACATCGGAATCGGAATTACTGCATTTTAGTTTTCCTTCCTTTTTTTTTTTTTCAAGATTTATTTATTCCAGACTCTACAGAATGGTACCATAAAATTCAAAATTTAAAATAAATTAAAACATTTTGAAAAAATAATTATTTATTTGAAAGACAGAATGACTGAAGAGAGGCAGAGGCAGAGAAAGAGGTCTTCCGTCACTAATTCATTGCCCAAATGGCTGCATTGGCAAGGGCTGGTCTAAACCGACACCGGGAGCTTGGAGCTCCACTCAGGTCTCACACATGGCTGTCAGGGACCCAAGGGCTTGGGCTGTGCAACGCTGCTTTCACAGGAGCATCAGCAGGGAGCTGGATAAGAAGTGGAGTTGCCGGGACTTTACTGATGCTCAAGTCGGATGTTGGCAGAGCAGGCAGTAGTTTTACCTATTGTAGCAGCCCGCGTTTTGGAAATCTTTTCCTCAATTATTTTGTTATTAATACTGCCATCATTTCAAACTTCTCCCTGGAATCTTCATCAGGAGATGTTGCAAGCCTGACAGTAGATTTTTTCAGAGCATGTGAGAATCTTATGCATATGAAGAAATGTCCTGTTTTTAAAAAATATATTTAGTCACTTAAAAGACAGAATGACACAGAGAGGAGAGGCAGAGATTGTTCATCTGCTGCTTCATCCTCCACATGGGTAAGAATGGGCCAAGTCGGAGCCAGGAGCCAGGAACCCAACCCAGGTCTCTTATGCTGATGACATGGCCCCGAGCTTGGGGCAATCACCTGCCAACTCCCCGGCTCTCCGGGGTCTTCTGTCCATGAACAAAGAAAATTCCTAGTTTCCATGGTACCTGGCCTTGGGACAAAAGGTCCCTGACTCCTGGCCCTGCTGTGGCCCAACTCCCGCTGCTGAGGCCATGTAAGGGGAATGAAGCAGCAAATGGAAGATCTTGTTCTTTATTTTACTCTTTGTCACTCTACCTTTTAAACAAATCTTCTTTTAAAAAGCATTTGGGGAAAGTGGTGTGACGTATCATGCTAAGCTGCTACTTGTGTCAGTATCCCACATAAGAGTGCAAGTTTCAGTTCTATTGGAACTATTGTACTTCTGGTCCTGCTTGCTGCTAGTGGGCCCCGCATCTCTGCCTGCCTGGGCCATGTGGGAGACAGGGCCAAGACGATGGCATCGTTGGTGTGCAGAGCACATTTACAGGAACACACGAGAGGTTGGACGATACAGTCAGCGTTCCCTCCTCCAAATCTCTGACAACATGCAATAATGAATCATATCTAACAATATCAAGTTTAATGGGTACAAATATAAAGTACACAGAGATCCCAAAATTCAATTACACAAGTACAGGCTGGAGGCGGGATGGCTTACAACTCCGCGCGTCAGGAAGATTTAGAATCTCCTGTTGATTGTAAGGAGATGATGAGTCAACCCCGTGTGATGCAGCTCCCAAAAAAACCCAGTCTTTTTTTTTGTATTAATAGAAATAGAGCACTTTAGAAGGGCATTGGTTCCCCACCACTCGCTGCTGGTCAGACCACATTGTGCTGCATTTGTAATTCCAGGTGTCAGACAATTAGTGACACTGGTGAAAAGAAGAGTGGCCAGGATAATAGGGGACCTGGTAAACAGGGTGACTCAGAGACAACAAAAAGACCTAGGGTCGTGTGTGGGTGTGTGAGCGTGAGAGTGGACTCGCATTGATAGCTTCCTTTGCAAGCCCAGCAGTCAGTGCTCGATAACAGAGATCTGATGGGCAGACTGGGGGCTAGGAGGAGCGGACTTGTGTTTGTTGGAGCCAGCTAGAATTTGTCAGCAACTAGATCTGCCTAGCAACCAAATGGACAGCCACTGTAAGTAGTAATTCCCTGGTTCTGGGGGAATGCACCCCACGTGGCAGATAAGACCATGATGGAAGTTCGAACACTGGGACAAAGGAGTGACGAGAAGAGGCTAGCAAGCAGGAGTGCGATGTACGTGGCGGACTGCCACAGGTGGTTGGCATTTCTGCTCTTCTCTGTCTGACTGTAACTCCACTTTACAGAAGAGGTGGGTGAGGCTTGGAGGGACTAGGTAACCTCTTGGTACAAAACTGACGTGAGATTTGAGCTGAGGTCATCAGATCTCTGACTTTCATTATTCAGTAAGAGTCTGTACTCCTAGTAGGCATTTCTTTTCCATCCTGCCAGTTTGTCTAATAACGGAATCGTGCCAAGGAGTTTATTACCTCAAGGAGCGGATGATTCTTTGGCAAATAGATTTCTTCTCTTTCTAGCTTTTGCAAGGGAGTATTCAGTCTAGATGCCTGCCCCTTGTGGTGCACAGGGCGGAGCTCGAGTTAGGTGAGCATACATTGGGTGCTCAATAAGTACATCCAAAACGAGAATGAGCACATTCCACCACACACGGCTACCCGTGTCCGAAATGTCAGAATCTCAATATACTCGCCGGGAGGAAAACGAGCACGTTCGCAAGTGGTTTAGTGAGGGCACTTGGCAAAAGTGAAAATCCTTTTTTGTTTTCTTGGCAAAGACCTTGAGCCTTTCCGGCTCAATTGTTTGCACAATGTCCATTAAGCAAACATTTATTGAGTGCCTGTCCTGTGCCAGGTGTGTCCAGTGTGCTGCAGATACCAAGATGAACCAGAGGATGCAGAGCAGGTCCACTGTTCACATGGACTGGTAAGCAGGTTCTCTTGATGTGTTCGGAGTGTTGTGTGTGCGTGCCTGTGTGTAAGTGTTTGGAGTATTGTAGAAGCATAGAGCAGAAAAGAACTAATTCTTGGTTGAAAAAGTCATCTAATCATTGGCTACACTTTAAAGATAACTTCTACATATGTTATGCTATTTGGGCTCATCCTAGCTCAGGCCATGTGGGATTGTGATCTGTTCTTTGTGTGAAAGATGAAGTATTTTCCTAGAGGTTAAGTGAGAGCCTCAAGCTCATGGCCACTGGTGATAATTGTTGACTTTTATTGTGGGTTTAGGATTCTTAATTCCTTTTAAGAATTTAATCCTCACAACACCTCCATAGGGTGCTTATTGATATCGTCGACATTTTACAGATGACAAAACTGAGATACAAGATGTGAAAGTGTCCAAAAGCTAGAAAGTGGACAGCTAGAGTTTGCACCTACCCAGTCTGGCTTTAGTAGGAAAGCACTTTTTCATTGGCCAATACCCTACATTGCCTACGCTGATGCCGGAAAGAGCAGGTGCTCACATAGCTGACTGTGCCTCCAAGTTCAGATTCTTTCACGTGGACTTGCTTTCCACCAGACGGCACATCAAAGGAGAAGCAACGGTGATGTGGATCCAGAGAGGGGTGCAGCTCACACACGCCGCAGCGTTCAGGAGGGGCGTGCCGGAATCCGGCACACGTGCACGCTTTGGGGTCTGCCTTAGGTGTCCGAGCTTGCTCACGACACAGAGCTTGGCCTGTTGCACCCAGGTCAGCAGTCCAGGCTCCATGGATTGTGTTTTATTATTCAGAGGAATGTCCCACCAATACCTACCCTGCAGCCTTGTGAGATCTAGTTGGAGTTTTCTGAAAAGAGGATGACAAGATGTTAAAACATTGAGAATAAAAGCAGCTAAATGCAGCACCTTGTGTATTAGCAAGAAAGGAGATAAAGAAAAGGAGGAAGAAATCACACAGTGGCTTAAGTTATCCAAGCTTTTTTCCCCCTAATAAAAATGACTGACTTGAGAAATGTTAGTATCAGCCCAGTATCATTGTGCTTTCACAATCAAGTTGGGTTGGCTGCATGGCGAATCTTAACTGAGAACGGATCTTTTATTAAAATGAAGGAGGTAGATTATCTCGCCACAATAATTGCCACTTTTAAGCTAATGTGGACTTGATGTATGTGATCGACGTTATTGGGTTTTTAAAATAGTCCTCTCCAATAAATGTTGGAGATTTGTGACTTTTTAAATCAGCTGTAGGTTGGGACCTCGGTGGTCAGCAGCCGGACAAGAGGCCACTGCTCTCATATCTCCTTCAAAGCAGGTGCGGCATTTGGGTGGGTTTTGGTTGGCGTGTTTTGTCATGCGTGGTGATTTAGGGGATTCATCTGATGCACCTGGCCTTTGTGTTCACAATTTGTGTTTTCTCGGCTTCAGTTCCCTGGAAACGCTTTTTCTGATGGCAGCCGCAGAGTTAGTTGAGTCATGTCTAATTTCTGCTGTTTCTATCTATTTCTAATATCCTTTAGCTTAAGACCACTTACAAGATGTTTCCAGAAAAGAAACTCTAGAACAACCTTGCAGAAACAGTTAACGTAGCGCCTGGTTAGTGTACGGCAGGAAGATTTTGCTGTATCAGTAGCTATAACAAGGATATGATTTGAAAATCATATACAGAATTCATAATTATATTTAGCATTTGTGTGTGAAATTTCAGGTTTCCTAGGGTTAATTAGAGCTACCAAGTGATCATATTGTTTTTAAAGTTTTATTTATTTTTGTTTGAAAGGCCAAGTTACATAGAGACAAGAAGGAGAGAGAGTCCATCCACTGGTTTACTCCCCTAAATGGTTGACGTGGCTGGAGCTCAGCCAGTCTGAAGCCAAGAGCCAGGAACTTCTTCAAGGTCTTGCATGTGGTAGGGAATCGAATCAAACATGAAGCAGCAGGGACTTGAACCAGTGTCTGTATGGGATGCTGGCACTGCAGGTGGGGCTTAATGTGGCTCTGGCCCCAGTAACTAGACTCTTTTTTTAAAAAAAGTTTACATTTCAGATGATGTTTACGTAGTTGATCATGATGGGAAGGATCAAGGGAAAGTGGGTGTGATTATTGTCTCCAAATTTTCTATTTCTTGTTCCTGTTTGTGGGGGCGGCGAGGGAACAGGGGAGAAGCCACATCCAGCCTCCCAATTGTCCCAAATCTGGGGGTGGGGCACGGCCTCCGATGCCAACCCAGGTCCTGATGTGACACACTCACCAGGTTCTGCCCAGGTGATGTTGATAGTTCTGAAATGCTCGCACTCTGATCCAAGGATGAGGGAACTCTTTCAGTGTCCATTGGCTGACTCAGCTGACCTTAAAATCTCCATTAGCCCAGATATTTGCTGTCATCGTTTGGCTGAGGTAGTTGTCCAATTTGTTCAGCCCTTCTTCTGGCATCGTACCAGATGTTCTCTGTAAGCCTCAATGGGCTGCCATATCCTCCATGGGGATCTGGGCCACTACTCCATCTTTTCCAATGAGGAGGACCAGTTCTCATAGGTGAGCACAGGACCTGGGCCCTACCGGTCCCTTTGCATCTGGGACTTATGGGCCCCGCATCCACCGCACAGGTGGACCTAGGGCCTGGGCCAGGTGACCTGGGCCCTGCTGGAACCCCCGCCCCCAGGGCTCACAGACCTGGTACCCACCTCCCCCAGACTGGCATGGCTCACCTCACCTTGGTTTCTACTAGTGGGTGCTGCAGTCTGGCTTGGTCCAGCCTGCCCCAAGTTCCAGCTCATGCTGGTTGGTTGTGTAGCCTAGCCAGGCCCAGCCATCCCCAAGTTCTGGTCCTAATGTGAACTGGCTGGTGTTGTGGCCTGACCCGGCACCTCCTTACCCCATCTTGGTTCTCAGATCTGCCCGTGGATGTTACGAACTGGCCTAGCCTTGCCACTCCTAGACCTGATCCGCATATATGCCAGTGGGTATTTACCCTGGTCTGGCCTGGGCTGCTCCTTGCTTGGTTCTTGCACTCATCTGCCAGGACTGTGTGCTGAAAGAGTTCCCCAAGCTCATCTATCAGGTCACCTTCCAATGGCAGATGTTGCCTACACCAGTGGGTCATTGGCCCAGGCTGACTTAATCCACCTCTTGTCCTAGAAGGAACAGTGTCCCTGCCCAAACAGCCTATACCCATCTGGCTCTTACTGTTGGGTGTTACAGCCCAGCCACACCAGGTCCATGCCCTGACGTAGCTCTCACATGGTTCAACAGAAGCCAACACCTAGCCCACCCAGTTCTACACCATGCTGGCTCTCACGAGTACCAGTGGGTGCTGGTGCCTAGTCCGGTCTGGTGCTCCCCTGACCCAGTCTACATCCATGCCAAGGGAGACAGTAGCCATGTCCAGCCCAGCCCGCTGCCCCTGTTCAAACTCATGCTCACCACTGGAAACCCCAACCAAGCCCAGGGTGTCCCCTTAGCTTCCCAACCAAGCTTGTTCCCAGCCACAGATCTCGCACATGCCAATGGAGATTGTTGTTCCACAGGGATGAGCACCTGTATGCTCCCACAGATTCTGCCCCCTGATTCGTTCATGTGCTGGCTAGTGTCATGGGCCAGCCTCACATTACCCCTTCCCTGTTCTGACTCTCACTAGCCCTGCCAGTTGGACCCCCAGCCCTAGCTTTACTGTGTGCCTGTGAGTGGCATTTGGTGATGGTTGATGCTAACCACCCCAGCTCAGGCCTCTCAGGGGCGTTGGTACCTTAAAGGTTTTCCCATTCCATACTCCAAGCAGCTGTCTCAGCCCCTTGCTTACCTGCTAGTACAGTGACACTGTCCATGGAAGTCCCTCAGAAGTCATTCTTCACCTTTCATGAACCCTCAGGTCCCTACTCAGCCCCACTTGTGTCACCTCCCAAATCTCCTATAGGCCCACACCCCCAAGGCCCCAGAGCGCACTGCCAGGCAGCCAGCCCAAGGTCCTGCAGGCCGCAGCTATACAGCCGGTGGGCGGAAACCCCGGGTCACGTGCCTAGGCCGCCCGAGGTCTTGCTGGCCCCACCTAGGCAGCTGGTGGAGTAGAAGTTCCATGCCACCGAGACCACCTGAAATCCCGCCAACCACAGCTAGATCATTACTATATTTTTTATAAATGTATTTTTCTTCTTATCATTAAGTCAACAAAAGTTGGAAAATTCATTTTTTTACACATTCCATTATTTTTCTAAAGCTTTTTCTTATTATTATTTGAAAAACAGAGCAGTCTCCTTCCACTGACTCACGTAGCACATGCCCACAGCAGCCAGCGCTGGGCCAGCCTGAAGTTAAGGTACCAGCAACTCTATCCAGGTCTCCCATGTGGGTGGCAGGAGCTCACATATTTGAACCACCACTTACTGCTCCCACGTGCACATCAGCAGGAAGCTGCCTAGGAAGCAGAGATGGGCCTCGCCCAAAGGCACCCCGACATGGGAAGCAGATGTCCCCAGAAGGAGCCAAAGCTGCTGAGCCACAAACCCGCCCCACCTATTTCATTCTTTAACTAAGCCCGAAGGTAAATTGCTTCCAAATACCACATCCCAAATAAAAAGCCGTTTTTCATCAGAGGAGGAGTAAATGAATGGCATGGGCTCCACTGGCATCTGGAATGTCTGTCTAATTAGAACTCACGGTGTTTCAAACATATAATTTACTGCAGTGGAGGTTCTTTCTTCCTAATCCCAAGTCCTCTGGGATGAAACAAGTGACCCTTGTTGGAAATATTTCAAGAATTACTTTCTCAAGGTTGACCTTTGGTTTGCTGGTCATCAATTGAATCAAGGCACTGCTTGTTCCCTGGGCTTGCACATGTCGGCACCTTCTTGCCTGCTGAAAGATGGAGGCTGGCGGTGCTCTGCTGCTGAGGAGAAGCGAGCCCTCAGCTCCCTTGGGGTGGTCTCTGCATGAGAGCACGTTCCATCCAGCTGCAGAATCACCTTTGCAACTCGCAGGAGGCAGGAGGC